GATATGTTAGACCCTATTATTCTTCAGTTATTTTTCATTAATGCTGGTATAACAGACAAACCTTTCTGACCCATACAGTAATCGAAGTTAAGCATTAACAAGGTAAGATTGAGATTTCGTATCGTTTTTGTGTTTGCTTGCATTGATGCGGTTGTTAACAAAAAGGAAAATGCTGTTATTTTTTTAACCGACTTACATAAGTGTAACCAATACTTTTAGAATGAGGAGGTTATAGAATAGAATAGAATCTTTATTGTACTATTGTATTGTATTGTACACCATTACTAATATAATAGGTACATACAGACAAAATAAGTTATAGTATGTTAATGACCGACTTCAAAAATGAGGGGGTTGAAGTTGTTTTTTTATCTGTACTGAATCTTAAATGAACTCTTGTTGTGTATAAAAAGTCACCCATTGGAGGGCTTTAAAACATTATTATACGTAATAAATTTATAATATTAACGGTTATAAATTTACCCATGGTCATTTGTATTAGTAAATAATATATCTAGTGTATGTATATAGTCGCGGAGAACCTAACGGGTTACCGGGGCTCCGGTTCGAAGCGCAGGAGAAGGAACGGGGTGGTTTTTAGTCAGTAAGAGTCTGACACTCCCTCACCCAGGCGGGAGATGTAATTGGATGATTTTCCCCCCTTAAAAAAAAGTGTATGTATATTAATACGTATTCATAGTTGGACAATTCGGAAAACGTTGGTAATGCAGGGAACATAGTATTAATATTACAGAAGCTGTAGTTCGTGGTGTAATGGAGGTGTTAATAATAAATACATGGTACCCGCGTTGTTTACACAAGACCTTACCATTGGATGAAATTTTCTTTTCTAGTTTTTTACGTGTTCTGCTTATTATAAAATGTTAAAAAGGATGCAAAGTAGAGATAGTTGATTGCATGGTTGGTGCAGGAACTGGAAAATCGACTGGTATGCAATATGGCGCTGTCGATTACTACTCGAAAAAACTTTTTGTATGCTTCACTTATTATTGACCCGGGTCCGGGTGTATTACTGGATTTTTATGTTTGTAAACCACAACAAAAGGAGTAAATATACGTGTGGGCCCGGTTTAAATAAAGTGTTTTTTGGTATCAAAATTAGATCACTTACGTCAATATCTTATGCCTACACATATGTACATACATAATGTAAATAACTTCAACACAAAAATATAACAAGGACAACAAAATCGTCTACCAATCTCTATAATTATTTTTCATACAAAATCCATTAAACCATGAATGTCAATGGAAAAAGAAAAAGAGTACAGACAGAATGAATGGAATCTTTTAACCTTGACCGGGCACAACACGTGTTGGATTGGAGGTGAAAGGTAAAGAAAAGTCGGCGCGGGCGCCTGGCCGGATGTGACGTGTGTGTGAATAAATAACGACCTTCCGCCGCCACTGGCACGACTAAAGCACAATTGATTATGTTTCCGATGTTAAATGGTTTGGGATCACCTTATTATGTGATTTTTATTGAATAGGAATTTTTTGTACAATGCTGCTTGCTGGTAATTTTTTTATGCCTGGCAGTGTACGTTATATACATAACATATGCGTATGCTTACATATTTGGACGTTTAGGAAGTGTATCTTTCCATATGCCAATGTATATATATGAACAATGAACAGCCGTGATCCACGTCCTTTGTTACCCGAAGGGGTATTCGAATTCTTTACAATCATGTACCTTTTTAAACTGACCTACTTTAAAATAAAATAGGTAAATTTGTAAGTACAATAAAATAAATTAACATAACATCACGCCTTTTATCCCCGAAGGGGTAGGCAGAGGTGCACATTATACCACTGTTCAATGTAACACCCACTTTTCACTATTTATGTTATGAGTCCCATGTAATAGGGGGTGAGCCTATTGTCATATACCGGGCACAATTCCAGACTCCGTGCTACTACTGAGAATATTTAAAAACCCAGTAATACTTTGCCCGACCCGGGAATCGAACCCGCGACCCCTTGCCCGGCAGTCTCACTTACAACCACTCGGCCAACGAGGTAGTAATAAAATAAAATGTACCTAATATTTAATTTACAAAAGCATTAAAAATTCTTCCGCATAGACAAAGGTAGTGCCCAAAAGGCTAACAGAGAAAAGTTTAAAGTAGTTTTTACAAGTTTTGGTGATCGATAAACTTTGTGACAAAGATATTCACTTAGGTAAGGAAGGGTAAAATAAAGGTTTTATTTATTAAACCGAGGTTTTCTCTAGAGAAATAACAAGGAAACTCAAGGGTGACAGGAAAACACGCATTGTCAATTGTTTACTGGAAAATCCAACCAAATTATGGACGAGGAAAATCGACTCCCGAGTCTTGGGTAATGAGCACTCATTGTGTAAAAGAATGTGTATTAATTATTGTACAGAAATTGCCCATTTTGTTACAATAAAACATTAACATCAAGTAACTTTGATTGGATTGGAAGTTTTTTTATAATCATATTCGTTTTCTTTGTCTAATATTTGTGGTTAAACTGCCTCGTTGATTGATAGCTCGTAAGTGCGACTGCCTGGCAAGAACCTTATATTCGATACCCGGGTCGAATAGAGTATTATTGTTGTTATTTCGTAACTTAATTATTGGGAAATAGATGTAACATAAATGGATGTAACATAATATCAATTAGTGTCCAATTTTGGCTACCACTTTGAAAATCAAAAGATGATGTGACGTTATAATATTTTTTTTTTATTATTATTATGTATTGCAATCTATCATATAGATATTCAGCAATATTTCTGTTAAATGCAGCAGACTTGTACGCGGGCTGTCCAGTGACTGCCCCGTTTATATTTACAACTTCCTAGATGAGGTCTTGAGGACTCTTTCTCTTTAGTCTTCTAGCGACTGTTTGGGTGCCCATCAGGTTTACTGCTAGCTTGTTTGGATGGCTTGTGATTCGGTCCTTGTACACTTTAGTCATTTTTGTAATTTCTTCCATTACAGTACTGATCAGTACGTTATAATATACGTATATTATTTTTAAAATAAAGTTATCATCCAAATTTGAAGTAACAAATAGAACCCAGACAGTCGACTACAATGTAGCATTGAAATGCAGTGTATTATCGAAACTTCAATCATTTCGTGCTCGAACTATTTCTGTAGACAATGTAATATTCTGCGAGAGTCCACAGAACCGTATCCGATAATTCGAGGCTCGTGATCGCATTAAATCTTCAATGTATAATTTAGTTCTGCTTCAGAGCATTCACTGTTTGCCCTTAATTCGTACTTCTATTGTTTCAAGCAATTTTTAATTATTATTATTATTTTAAGCCGAGTTAATTTGTCTAATTAATTTTTTTAAGTTATGACAGAGTAGTTGGGATTGTGACTGCTGACCGAGAGGTTTTGTATTCGATTCGTGAGTTGGGAAAAATATTGTGGAGGGGTTTGTTTAATATATCGGTGTCTGAAATAAGGCTCGGTATATAGCTACATAGACTTACTCTGATTACATTAGACTTTTTTTATATATTTTTTTTAAAACGTTGCTACCTAGAATATTCTCCTGTATCGTGGGTGCGTTTACAAACATATAAGTTCACATACACAATGACACCCAGACCCGAAACAACAATTTGTGGATCACACAGTGTTGTTCCGTGCGGGAATCGAACCCACGACACGTTACACAGCAATTTGGGCGATACATTATATGTCTCTGCCTACTCCTTCAAAAAATATGTGTATTGATGTTATAATATTATTTATTTATTTATTAAATGGTGAATCAATAGCTATATTATACAGATTTAGCAGTAAAATAGCCACTTACAGATTCACACGAATACTGACTTAATAGGTAACAGCTTATTATGATGAAGTCCTTTATAATATTTCAGATTATCTACTGTTAAATGCGATTGTATTGTGCTATGTTTCATTAAAAAGTTACGTGTCAATAAATACAGGGTGATATGAAAATTATAGCGCATATAACTGTCACCAATTAAAGCGTACATCGAACTAAATATATACACGTATGAAGTAATTGTAGCCATTTAGGTCTAGGATGATGAAACTATAAAGTATAATAATTAAAATGTGATAAATATCAACAAAATAAAATTGCTTCTCAATAAAAGTTATTGTAGGTAATTTCGAAACAGACATTGAAATAAATTTTACACGCTAGTGTTTCATAATATAATTTAACAATTAATTCTCATCTGAAACGATCCACTGATTATTTATTGTTTCAGAGTGAAAATTAAGACAGTACTTAATAGGAACGTCGAATATCGCAATACGCAAAAGAAACAAAAACCTAACCTCAATACAGCTATGAAAAATGATCAAAACAATACCTATTACAAAACTTTATAAGAAGTATAATGTACTTAGTTCAAAAATTTATCTGTGTCCGTGAAATATTTGTCTTGGTAGAAGTTTCTTCGCGAACCAAGCAGCAATTCAACCCAATACAATTTTTCACAAAATAAGCTACGAGTTCCAAAGAACTTTGACGTTTGCTTGACAGCTGCTAAGTGGGAAATAAACAAAGACTTTGCTACTTATTGGACGGAGCCTCACAACCTTCCCACTGGCATAAATAAAACAGGCAATATGACACTAATTGCTACACGCTGCTACGAAGTTGCTACGCCGTAGACCCTTGCTACACCGTAGACAGACATTATACCAAAGAACAAGGAAACAATTTTGGTTAATATTATTAAACATTCGAACATTCCCAGTGAAATGAAACAATTCAACTTTATTATTACTAAGCCTTGAGACTATAAACCTAAGTGCTTTGTAGAAAACATTAGCCATAAATATTAAGGCAATGTAATGGTTATCGTAACCTCTTATCAAAGATCAAAAACTTTACATGTTTACAACCTACACGACCTCACATACTTCACACAAATGTACAAAAGTCCACGAACGTTGACCTTCGAAAAAAAGTTATCTATCATTATTCAAATAAAAGTAACATCTTACCGTTTAGACAGCCGCCTGAAGATTTGCGAGCTTCAGCAGAACTCTCACATGACACAAGGATTTGTTTGCTTCAATCACATTCGCGTAAACGTCCGCAGCGCGGTTGGCTTTAATCAAATAGTGATATCAGTTGTGACAGTTTATTAGTGTTTGTAACACAGCGAATGTTGTGTGGGTTATCGGCAGCTGTCAAGTGCAGGTGTAGGAGACGAGCGGGTCGGAGCGCGCGACGGTGGCGACTGAGCCGGGCGGCGCGCGCCCGCGGGACCGCCCGCCGGTCGATATACGCGCCAGAATAAACACGCCGTACTAGGATGAGAGTACCGCCGGTGTTGCCAGCAGAGACCAAGGGGTTGCCGCCTCCGATGTTTGCCGCCGCTTGTATCTCGCTTCCGCGGATTCTTATGCCGGTCTCGTGAGCACGCGTCCTAATGAAATATGACGCCGATGTGTTCCATTCGGATGTGGTGCCTTAACGCGGGGAACGACTCTCTCCTTGTTTTACACTTTCACGTTCGGCTTATCGGATTGCCGAAACCCTGTCGATATGCAATAGTTATTCAGCGGCGGTCGCTGTATAATTTACATGTAACCTTCACTTATCTGTACGTTGAGACAGGAACATTTCCATAATAGAACCATCTGTAGTCAGACAGGATCGCCCTGCAGTTTTGTCATGGAACTATCTCGGTGTTAGTTATCTTTATGAGATATTGTAAACGAATTGAGTAGGGATTGCTATTTATGTTTGCGTAATGTTCGAGTGTTTGATTTTTTGCGGCATAATGTTTCTGTAGGTACGAAGTATGTGAAATGTTAATACAGCCCCGACATAATATTATCTATAGCATCTGTATATCGGTAGAGGATCGTTCATATTCATGAATTCAGATTCGGTTTGCTAAGTAAACACCGCTGCGAGGGAGACTGACTAACTACCAAATGTAACCTACATATTTAACGTACAAAATGTGTTCTTATTGTAAATGATAAAATCGTTTATTTATAAAATGGAACGATGTTTTAACAATCGTGCTGTGTTTTCAGTAAAGTATCAATCTTCTCTCTCGCGTACCGTACTAGAAACCTAAATAAGTTTCACGAGAAATTTGATTACTGAAATTAAAAGCAATTTGTTATTTAACTTCAACTGAACTTGCAACTTTCGTGTTTTAAAAACACACCCGTATTTTACTTTCGATACTTTATTGGTTTAGTATTTAAATTTTATGTCAGTAGTGAATGTAAGTCTTGATTTTGACATAATATAACATAACATCACGCCTTTTATCCACGAAGGGGTAGGCAGAGGTGCACATCATAGCACTTAATGCCACTGTACAATGTAAAACCCACTTTTCACTATTTATGTTGAGTCCCATGTAATAGGAGGTGAGCCTATTGCCATATACAGGGCGTAATTCTAGACTCCGTGCTACCACTGAGATTTTTTTTACAACCCAGTAGTACTTTGCCCGACCCGGGAATCGAACCCGAGACCCCTTGCCCGGCAGTTGCACTTGCGACCACTCGGCCAACGAGGCAGTCTTGAGTTTGATTCCTGAAACATATATAGTATTAAGTTAGATTTTATAATCTACAAAATCCTATCCTGAGTAACCATACTTGACGTACTATAAGTAAAATTTACATAAGCTTTTTTATTACAAAATACCGAGACGTCGAAAAAAGACATCACTTTAATTATATTTGACCTACTTCCCACATGTCAACATGTTCCACGTATTAAGATTAACTCGTCCCATAGCAGATTTGCCGTAAGCGACATACAAAATAGAAAAGAGGATTGCATTATTTCTCTTCCTTGCCAGGGGCGCCACTTATCTTTGGTATAATGCAATTTATTTCAACTGTCTGGTACACGCTAGTTCTTTAAAATTAAGTAGATAGTAATAATAGCCTGTTCTTGTCTTTTCACTAGTTCTGGGAAAGCAATCTTTTAATTCAAAGAAGTAAGGTTTAACTGGCTTTTTAATGCTGTCGTAGTGTCTTTGGTACTTTGTTTTCATCTATGAATCCCGAGAACTACGGCTCATTTCAGTTATGTACAATGGACCTTATTGATTTCGAAATTATATTATACCTAGGTGAATAAGAAGCTATCTATTATAATCTAGAGTACCTATAGCAAATTATGATTGAAGTTTGCTTACTAAACATATAAAGAAAGAAAGAAAAAACATTTATTTTGCTTCGACACACAACAAGAATTTAGAAACACAAAGAAGTGCGTCGCAGCGCAAAAGGCTGGAGCTCAGCTTAACTCTTTATAAAATAAAAACCAGTTGATAACCAGAAATACCGATGTGATATCATTCTGAAGGAAAGTTAACACAATTGCAATAGCAGTTCTGGTTCTGACGCCCTGAGAATGTTTCAATGAATATTTATTTATCCTAATTTAAACCGGATAAAGCTTTGAATCTAGGAAGCAATGTTTATAATTGACCTATTTAGCAACAGGGTCAAAATATTTTGCTTTCACGTCGTCAGGTTCCAACCAATGGTAGTTCAAGTCCCTTTCAAATTCCCGTAAGCACAGTTCTGAAGAGTTCTTTGCACTCACCATTCATAATGATCGCAGCCAGCTCATATGTATATGTTGTACAATAATAAACATATTCCCATTCAAAAGTTTTAACCTGAATGATACTGAGCCTGAAAAGAAAAGAAAAACGAAATTTTTTGGGTTAAGACTTTTATGAAACTCGTGTTTTTATGTTATGCAAAACTGTTAAGTGAAAAATTACTAACGAGTTGAAGTATGAAGCTTTAAAGCGATTTTACTTTTGAAATTAATAATACAATGTGAATTTAAATCAGTGTGGGATTTCGTTATATTTAATCCCGTAATATTTCCGAAGCTAAACAATTAAATCTCTTATCAAAGTGTACGTTTTTCAATTACGATAATTTTGAGATGTCTGAAAAACACCCACAAAAACCATATTCGATTTATTGCGAAACATTCCATTAAAGGTAACCGAAGAAAAGTAAAAAGAAATTAATTTACCGGAACATTAAATATTGGCATAGGAAACATTCAAGTATAAAAGAACGCAATAATTGAATTCCGTTGAAGTTACTTCAAAGGAGATTTATAAATATGAAGGACCTCTTTATTGGAATACTTTCAAGTCTATTCAAATAGAGTTGAAACCACATCGCCGTGTATTTCCCTTGGGCTCGCACAATTTGTGGTCAAAACTTAACTCTAATAGTACTGTATAAATATCCAACTGTATTTTTGTTCGAAATTGAATGTAATAATCACTGTTTTTACGTCTTGTTGGTTCAGTGGTTGTTAGGAACGCTTTTTGGTCGTTGAATTGGGTTTAGATTGTGTATTTCGGGTACGATATACAGTGATAAAGGTAGTCTATGATTAAACTATAAACATAGAAGAGAATCCTAATGTGGGGCAACGATTTATAAAACATAATAAAAAAACTCGCTCCTATTTACTATTTATTGATATATTATGTAAGTACTATATGCACTGGTTCGCGAGTGATTCTCAGATAATGTTGAGGTACTGTTATGTTTTATGACTTGTTTATGATTGTGCATAATTCGATATATAATACGTACCTACTTGTACAGCAAAAAGTACAGTCACAATACTATCGCTATTTTATATGAAACTCACGCAAATCCTGAAAACAGCTATTTTATTCTAAGCGAAAATATTATAGAGCTTTATGTGGTCTCTCTTTGTCCGTACCAACGCCTTGTTTGAGAGATTCCCTCATCACTTGAGATATTATTTCATCTGCAACGAAACAGAAATGAAGACGATCTCGACAGACGAGTGGATAGGGAAAATCCTTTATATCTTTCAGGACAGATAAATAAGGCCTTTGAAATAAGAGTTTTACAAACTTCAAAAATGAAGTTTTTATGTCTTGACCTTTGTTGAGATTTTTCGAATACCTTCCTACTACTTTGTTGAATAACGTTTTCCTGTATCCGTGAATATTTTGAGAATTTTCTTTTCGTTGAGTGTTTGGTGAATATCGTTCGCAGTGATTCTTGGCAATCAAACATGGCCTGGGGCTCTAAGAAAGATCGTCAGTAATTATTATGTACATTTTTGTATCAACTTCCAATTCATCTCAATACTTCTTTCGTCTTATTGGATTATCTAACATTTTCCTTGAACAACAATGTGAGGTGGCCCAATTTCTGAAATCGGGTTTCTGAGTCCAGACGGTAGCTACTCGTTGTAATATCGGGGATTGAGCCCGACACTTACATATACTATTCAACAACTTGCAGATTGAAGGTTCTAAAACTTTCTTCTATTTCTAGATATTTTATAAACAGAGAAAGAATTCTTGTGATTCTTTTCTGAACATATTTTACGTTATACATACAACATACATGAATACGTCAGTATTATATAAAATAAGTGAATGTATTAATAATATACCTAGTACCTAGTCTATCTATTATTATATCCATTGTAGTATATGAAACTACGTAACTTTTCCATTCTTTTCTTAGTCAAAGACGCTACGCATATAGATTTTAATACCTACTTTAAAAAAATGTAGTTATGTAAATGGTAAAAAAAATGATAATTATTCTAAAATAGCTGCGATTTAGTTAGACGTCATCCAAATCAGGTAAAAGTTTGTTGGAGATATAATAAATAGAGAAATTAGGTACCTAATACCTGTGACTCCTCTGGTGTTGCGGGTGTCCATGGGTGGCGCAGATCGCTTACCATCAGGTGATCCGTCTGCATGTTTGCCTCCTATACCATAAAAAAAACCTAAAGACATTTATTGTAATTGATTCATAGGGAACTTAAAAGTTTTTAATTAAGGTACGACGTCTAACAAGAGAATTTTATTGGTCTGTGTACCTAAGCATATGTATTTAGGTTACAGATTCCAGTGCAGCGTGGCACGCGGTTACAGTCAATATTTGATCTCTAAGCTAGTTACAATGCATGTAAGAGCCTTTCGGCTTTGATGGTATCCTAGTACATGAAAATGTATTCTGAATGCATAAATCTTTCTACATTTTGATGTACCTAGATGGAATAAGATAAAAAATCTATACATACAGATAAATAAACTTGGAGTGTGTGTTTGCAATATTAAAATTTTACACACGCTTATTACTACATGCATACGAATATTCATATGATACATAGGTATACCAAATTATTTTTTGTCTGTTTATACTTGCTAACTGATTGATTAACTGTCTGATTACTCGATTTATGTATACGCATGTTTTACAAATAAACAATCTTTCTTTCTTTCTTTCTTTCTAACTCGTGTTGTACTGGTGGCTAATCTCTGGAATGGCTCCACCGATTTTAAAAGACTTTTCATGGCAGGTAGCTGATGTACTAAGGAGTAACATAGGCTACTTTTATTTTGGAAAATTGAATAAACAAAA